TAAAATGAAAACCATATAGGGCAGAATGGTTTCTCCGACTAAACTATATGGTCTGCAGACCACTGGCGGCTGACAGACTGTACCTTTTGGGCCATGAGCATAAACTGTGCAGAGTACCATGCAATGGTGTACTAAATTTCTAACACAGAAAAGGAGTAGGCATTATAAGCACTTCAGTTTTTGCAGAACCACAATTTTAGAAAGGAAGTCCTCAATTAGGAAAACACAGCATCCTTTCAGCAGTAAGAGATGTCACCTTACCTTTGAGAGCAAAACTGCAATGAATAAAATGAAGGCTGATAGTGTGGGGTTTTTTTTAAACTAATAATGGAAAAATTGTTAGGACACTTGTTTGAACTCAAAACAGCATTTTCAACAATTAAAGAGATCCTAGGCTGAAAAATATGAAATAAAGCTAAACAAACCAAAGCCGTCTTGTGAACAACACCAATAGCATAAGTAAAACTGGAAGATATGTATTTGCTTCTTCCAGCTTTCTGTATTACCATTAATACTGCTGGTTGTGGAAAACCCAGTCTTGAATCACACTGTCTTGTCCAAAGCGAGGATTTGATGATGTTTCCCATCACAGAATACTTGAAAGAACCATTCCTATCTTTTTAATTACAGAATAGTGGTGCATGAAAGAGTCTGTAGCTTAGCAAGAGAATGAGAGCTAGGACACCAAATACGAATCTTCTGCTTGAGGAATGAACAAAATTTTACACCAAATACCATTTTGATACCAAATGAAGTATCTTTCACAAAAAAAAGAAAAAAAAAAAGACTGCCAGAAACCAACCAGGGAATATTATGCTGTGAACCAATACAGACGAAATAGGTGGTTTTAAAGAAATATACGAGCTTAAAGTACATGAAAACTCAAAATGTACTGTTTCTGTTGGCTCAGAAACACCACTCACTATCATTTCCCTTATCAAAAACCCCAAAAAAACCCAACCAACCAAACAAAAAACCCCACACACAACCCACCAAACCACTCTAATTTCCTTCACCAGGAGCCACTATGCTTTGCAAAAACAGCACAACAGAAAATAATATGGGGTTAAAACATAAGCCAGATCTTTTAAACACCAAGCAGAAACAAAATCTACTGGGAGTAATAAGAACACAGGTATCAAAGACCTTCCATGGGAGGATCTTGAAATTTTATGGTCGTAGGCAACAGCATAAAACCCTGAAATGAAATGCAGCAGTTAACACAAACACTAGAGACAAGATATGTCATATCTTACTATCATCTTTGCCTTTTCACTGCCCCCCAACAACATCAAGCCCTTCACAGAAATGTAACAAGGTCCCAATGGAAACAAGAAATTTAAAAATAAAAAACAATTTCATGTTTTCAGTTGTTTTCCAGAACAATTACTTAATTTCTCAAGTAAAATAAGGAGGAGTATTTAAATTAAAAATTATTATCAAAATAATTATACAGTGCTTTATTGCAGACACAACCATAACTTTCCCAAAACAGCATACTATAGAGACAGATCTTTTCAGCTTTATACAAGGTTCCTCAGTAGACAATTTGGGAACTTGGCTTTCTCATTTTTGCAAATTCTATCATAGAATTACAAGTCAACACGAGTTTTCACAGACTGACTGCAACAAAATTGTTGTGATTTTAACATGTCCTACTCCAAGATCTTGCTTCTTATGATTCAAGCTCCCACAATGTTTTGAGGAGTACTAAAGAAAATATCAAATACTCCAAACCTAAGCTGCAGAATTCAAGACTTATCAGTAGAATCTCAGCTTTAGAAAAGAATGAAAGGGGGAAAAAAAAAAGGAAGTCAAAAATACCATATTTGACTCTGTACGAACCTTCACTTAGTGGGAAGTGTTATCTTAAAAGGCAGAATAAATAAGAATAAGAATCTAGTTTTGAACAGAAAGGGCACCATCCCAGATGAGTAAAATGGTCAGGTACTCCAGGATTCTGCTGCAGAACAGAGACAACATCCAGAAGTAGACGCCTGGAATACCTGTGGTTAGAGCAAAGCTAGCGTGCACAATACTTCCACCAGACTCAGGAGCTGCATTAGCTGGAAAAGGCTCCCAAGTATTCAGCCAATGGACCCCATATCATCAATGGGCTGCAGTTCCCTGAAAAGACTTTGTTTCAGAAGTGCAGTTTATATTACAGTGAATATAATGGTCCGAGAAGGTGTGTAGAAGAGAAACTTGGCATAATTTATTCAAATGCTAAATAACTGTTGGATGCATACATCTCTTCTCTAAAACTTTGAGTAGAGTTTCCTAGAACAAATTAAAGCTTTCAGCATCAATAATTTTATGTCTTTTTTTCTTTGGAAAAAAGTATTCAAGAGGCTAATACCTAAACAAATACCTAAGACTAATCCCTTTGTTCCGGTACACTGTTAAACCACTAAACTAGATTTCATCTGGGAAGTTTTTTTTGGAAGTACAATTTATGTGTCTGTGAACATATTACTCAGAAGGAAAAAGACTAAAAAAAAAAAGAAAGAAAAATCCCAGGCAATTTTGTCCAGTTGCTGGACTAAATGTTAACACCCTCTCACTAAAATCTTTTATAAAGACATTACATAACATTTCTATCCAAAATGCCTGCTAAGGCAGTCTACAGAAGGGATAGCCTCACCCAATAGCATGGAACATAGCACAAGCAAAATCTCACTAGATACTGAAACACTTTTATGCAAGGGTCTTCACACACCTCCACAGGTTGTCCTGAGAGGTTGCAGCCTCCAGCCATGGGAACACTCAAAACCTAACTGGACACCATCCTGAGCAATCTGCTCTAGGGTGGGGTGCAATACATTCTCTCAAGAGGTCCCTTTCAACATAAATGGTTTCACAACTCTACTAAAAAGACCTACAAATTTTCAAAGACATCACAAGAACCAAAGAAGTTCTTAGATCTAAATGAAACTAAGTAGATCACAGCAGATCAAACAAAATTCCACAAAAGGAATTAGTTGGCCAGCAAAAACTTCGTATTACAACTGTGAAGAAAGTAGAAAAACATAACATTGACACTACCTATATGTATTTATGTTTTCAAATAGCCTGTCTTTCCACAAATTTTTCACAAAATATGACCTTAAAATGGATTAATCATCCCCAAATAATTTTATCAGTTGACTTTCAAACCAGTTGAAGGATCTTACCGAAACCCACTTTAGTTCCCCTTCAAATTCAGAATATCTTCACAAAACTTTCTTTTTAAAAAGTTAATTACCTTATATAATACTACATTGAAAAAGCTGCATAATTTACTACATTATCACCTCTTTTACTGGCTTTTACTGGCTTCCCTGTTCTTTACATAACATATACATGCTTAAACCTGTCTAAATTTATTGACGGATTAGTATGGTAAAGATGTCTACATTGCAGTGCTTTCAGAGAAACCCTGTTTATAGATTACTACCTCGCTTTTCTTTTTATTTTATTAGGAACCTGAAATAAATCCTGCAGACATGCATCCCCTGTCATCAGAAAGATGGTATACATTGGATACTACCTAGTGCTGGAGAGATTATTGCAGAACACTGACTGGCTTCTGTTTTCAACTATTTCCTGTTCTTTTTTGCCTGCTTCCCTCCTAGAAACTACCTGATCTAATAAAAGACAAAGATACAAGAACGGCAAGATAATATGCAGGAGAATTAAAATAAATACATTTAAAATATTTTCTGTTTTCTGACTTTTAAAAAGACTGGAATGTGTTCATTAAGAGACAAACAGAAACGCGCACATAATTGAATGCATCTAAAGGGGAAATCAGATGTTTAACTACAATTTTTGTATATTAAGTTACATTATCAAAGGGATTAGGAATTCAGATTTGTACTGTTTACTTCCAAGTTTCTATTATTTTTAATGCTCTTCAAAAATATTATATCCTACTATGTTTTAGTAATTTATAATTTATGTTCAACTACCAAATGAGCAGACGACCGGGCCTTCCTTCTGCTTCCACCAAATTTTGTCTGATAGTGCACATCTGCATACTAGGAATATATATCTTCATAAAGAGTTTTCTGAACTTCTCCCACAAGACATTGAAGATACCCCCAAACCATTCAGCATTATTCAGCATTTCCAAACAGGATTTTCATTAACAGCTCCCTCTCCTCATAGATCTTCCATGCAATATGTTTTTTCAAGAAGTCTGAATTCTACCCACAGCAGGGACCAGTGCCAGTTGTCAGGTGTACCAAAGCTGCTTGGAGAAGGGAACCTCGACTAACTCCACGGTGGATGCTTTCTTCTGATGACCACATCAGCCCAGGCCTTCATGGCCTTAACCAGACCACATGCCACATGAAAGTACTATTTTGGCTTCCATCAAGCGAGAAAGCATCTGCAGCATTAAATGTCACCTTCCTCTCTGCTGCATACTTCTGGTGTAATCCACGTGTTTGGTAGAGAATTTTCACTCATTTTGTATTATCAACACTCTCATATTTTCAGGAAATACACCTAAATGTCAGCGATGAACAACTAAATAGAAAAATGAGGGCAGCGTACCTATGAATGGAGGTCTCAAGGAACGACACACGGGGGAACTTTTCAAAGTGCACCCATAATTAGTCATTAAGCCCTCCCTCCCCAGAAGCGGCTCAAGTATACTTAATCCCCCTGCAAGGCTGGGCGAGAGATTAAATGACCTCCAAAGATTCCTTCAAGACCTACAATTCTCTAAAACCCCTCTGCCTGTTCATTTTTCCCCGGAGTTGCACAAGGCAGCACATCGGGACTACTGCCATTACAATTCAAGCAAATCGTGGCTTCTGGGGAGGAACGAAAAAGCTCTCAGGACAGGTGGTTTCAGCCAGGGCAAGGGCCCGGACCGGCTTAATTACCGTCCCGGAACTGCCCGGGGCCCCGCTCCCCGTCCTTGCCTTCCGGGCCCCCCAGGAGCGTGACCCGAACGCGCAGCACCCGGGGGACTCGCCAGCCCGGCTCCGGGCGACCCCGCGCTCCGGTACCTGGCAGCTGCTCGGCTCCTCCGCCAGACCCCGCAGCTCCTCCTCCAGCTCCGCCACCCGCCGTGCCGCCGCCTCCACGCCCCACGAAGCCATCGCCGAGAGCCCCTCGCCGCTGCTCCAGCAGGGACGGCGAGGATACAGGAGGGTCCGCGCCGGGCGGAGCGGGCTCACGCAACCCCCGCCCGCGCCTGGGGGAGAGAAACGTCGCCGTGAACCACAGAAATGAAAACTTTGCCCCGCTCCGCCGCACTCCAGGCGCAGGCGAGCGCCGGAAACCGCAGGGCAGGGGAGGACGCGGTGCAATGACGTCAGCGCTGCCCCAGCAAGGAGAAGGGGCGAGGGGCGCGTTTGAATTCGCCCGCCCGAGCCGCGGCCGCGCATGCGCCTTGTCGGGGCGGGCGGTCCCGGGGCGGGAGACTGGGAGCGGGAGACTGGGAGCGGGAGACGTTCTGCTGGCGAGGAACGGCACCTCGGAAGGGTGGGCTGCGTGAGCCGTCAGTCCCCCCCCCATGTGCGAGTCCAGACTTCTTTTTTCCTCACAGTCCCTATAGGAGCAGCTGCTGTCTAGCCAGGGTGCTAAGAGAGGGATGTTGGAAATGCCTGGGAATCCAGCGGGTTCCTGCCCTTCCTGAGCTGTAGGAGCACCTGTGCCGCGTCTCTGTTTAGATATCAGATATTTCCATATGAACCGTGCAGATCACAGGCTCATAGAATGGCAGAATGGGTCAGGTTGGAAGGGACCGCAGTGGGTCATCTGGTCCCATCCCCTGCTCAAGCAGAGTCGTCCCAGAGCACATGGCACAGGATTGTGTCCGGATAGTTCTTGAATATCTACAGTGAGGGAGACTCCACAACATCTGTGGACAATCTGTTCCGGTGCACGGTCACCCTCACAATAAAGAAGTTCTTCCTCATGTTCAGATGGAGCTTCTCGTGCACCAGTTTCTGCCTCTTGTCCTATTGCTCAGCACCAGGAGGACACCCTCCCTTCAGGTACTTAGAGATATTGCTGAGGTAATGAGATTTTTCTCGGTGTTCTGCTGTGAGGTGCTGAGTCTCCAGCATACCTCAGTGAGATGCATCTTGCCTTTTCCTTTTTGTTTATATGGTTTGTTTTTTTTCCTTTTTCTCTGAATTAAGTAATAACGTTTGCAAGACAATGTCAGAAACCTGTTTTTAGAGCAGGTCTTGATAGCACTTTAAGATGCGTGAGCATACCTCCTCAGACAGGAAGGTTATTCAGATTTATCAGTCCCAGAGTTGGATTTCAGGGCCTCCAACTGAAAGCTAAGGCTTGGAAGATCTAACCATTACAAGTAAGTGAAATACTTGGGCTGGTGCAGTTATATAAATGTATTGGTTTTAAGATCCGGATATGCAGAGTACCTGGTTTTCCAATAAGGGGTTAAATAGCATTTGCCAAAGCAAATCCTTGTGCATTTCCTGTAGCCTACTTGGGAAGCAAAGTACTCATAAAAAGCAGAGTTTCTCCCAGACAAATGGAAAAAAGTTGAAACATGGGGGCAGAATATATTTTAGCCTGGAAAGAAGCACCAACTGAATTGCATTTCACCGATGTCAGTATCTTGCTACACCTTTATAAAAACAGCTGCTTTTATAAAGAAGTATATTTTCTTTTCCCCTCCTTTGTAACTTTTGTACAGTTTGTGGAAAAGTTGCCCTGTAACAAGTACCACTGTAACAAGAAACAAAATTCTTTGTGTGTGTGTGCTTGCAGAGAAGCAAAGGAGGTTTAAGCTTTGTGTGAACTAGAATATATGTTAAAATACCCAATCCTTCCACCTTTGGCTGTGGGAGAAAGATTTCTGCATCCTTGGGGATAGCTTTGCCTGTCAAATTTGATTTTTGCTGCATATTGATCTCTAGAGTCCCTTCTCAGAAAAGAAAAGTGGCTACACTACTTGAGCCCAAATTATCTATTTCTTTAATATATTTTTGTAAGAGTTTTTACTATTACTGCAATTATTGCATGTACAATTACAAATGTAAACTTCAAGGTGAGAGACTGCACTGACTGTTTTCTTCCAGTTATATGGAAATCTAAGGAGATTCAACAATTACTGGATCAATACTATGTCTCTCCTCAGAACATCCTTTATAATTTTTATTGTAACTTTTACAGTTGTATATTGTATCATCTCATATTAGTGATCTTGCACTTTCAGTTACTTATCTTTGTGTGTTATTACATGTGCCTTTTGCAATCAGATATGTCTGTCACGTTTTGGCCTCATAAGCCACCAGCGTGCCTGTAACAAATGTGGATAGAGCCTTCCCAAATCTTCGTTCGCAAAGCCTAGCCATGATTACATGTGCATTTGACTATAATGACCATTATCATGTCATAATTTTAACATGTTTATATTTTAAACTTTTTGTTTGCTTTTAGGGTTTTCTAATTCTCCTTTACCATAAGTTACCCAGTTACTATGATTCTACGTAGCCTTTGCTTTTTCCACATCCCTTGCCCTTTAATAACCATCTTCTCTGCTTTCTGTTTCCTAATATTTTTATCATTGTCCCTTTGACCGTTTGTTCCGTATTACACCTGGGCAACAAGGAGCTAACCTTACTTAAAAAACAATATGCTTGGATTAACTGCTAAACAACTACAATGACTAAACAGTATTTAAAAACATTTTCCAAGTACAGGGTCATTCAAAGTTTAGCTGAAAAAATTCACTTATTACAGGGGCTAGGTTCACAGCTTGACACAACACAAAAGACCACAATTTCCTATGACTTTAGAATCTTAGAACTTTGTGCATATGCTTTTTGTGTAGACACAATATGTTACCGCAATTAACACACAACTAACACTTTCCCATTGCAAGATACTTATTTTGAGGACTTTTTTATATAATGAATCACCTTTGCATTTTTTTTCCTGCCATTTCATAAATTGATTCTCTAGAAAAACTTTCCAATTATTAACCCAAACAGTATTCATGATAATTCTTAGAATAATTTAGAAAACTAAAGTGTGTGGTTAGCAAGTTTTGGTGAATTGAGAGACCTTGCCTTGTATCAGAGTATTCTGTGTATTGTCTTTCTCCCAGATCTTTGTATTTTGGAATACCTGCATTTACAGCTATCAAATGCAAATCTGCTAGGCAGATTTCTTCCAATTCTAAATGTTTCCCTCTGGATTTCACTTTTTTCAAATGAAACTACATTCAGTTTGATTGGGTCAGCACAAGAAATTTTCCAAATACATAACTGTTGAGTAAGCATGCAATTTTTTTGTTGCTTTTCCACTTGTAAGAGGTCTACTAGAAATATATTGTGCAATTCAAACCTAGTTGCTAGGGCTTTTGTCACTTACAGTGTTTGTGAAAGTTACTCATAGAGAAGTGCTCCCTAATTTGCCTTGGAGGCAGAAGCATTGATATTTTTGGTTTGGTTTTTTTTTGCAGCTGGGAAATTCCACATCTTTCATTGAATCATGTTCATATTACACACAAAATTGCTGAAAATATTTCTAGCAGGTTTTGGCAATGTTCTCAATATTTTAGTAATTTATGTGCTTCTCAAGAACATATTATAACTCTAGAAATATGTTAGATCTTGTTTAGACAATGAATTCAAAACATACTTGTTTTCAATAAAAGTTTATGGATGTTTTGTGGTGTAGATTTGGTTTGGGTTTTTTTACTTATGTATGCATTCAGGGCTGCTGGGGACATTCTTTTCACTTTTGTGACGGCTATAAATAATAATGTGATTATAGTTATAGGAACAATAGTTTGGGGATATAAAAATGGCAAGGTCTGTAAGGAGAAGTAGTATCTGATATCGGATCACCTGTCATAACCAAGAGAACAGGTAGACCATTTAAATGGAAAAAAATGGTGAAAAAAGTATTTGACCAAAACTACACTTTTTTTTTCCAACTGCATGTTATAAAGGATACTACTTCAGACCTCATTCCTACCCTTATAACATATTCAATTGAATTAGCACAGTTTAAAAAAACAGACCTGGAAAAGGTCAGCATAGCAGCCCTAGATTCATTGATGCAGGGACCTGGAGTTCCACCATTAGTGTTATTCACTTTTCACTCAGTGACAAGAAAGTGCCATTCATCTCATAATCAGAGAAGAATACAGCAGAGGTCTTATCTACCCCCAAAAAGACAAGACAGAAAACCAAGTAACCTCCTAAAATTTATCAAAATTCCTAGGACATGGCTTCCTGGGGAAAGTTCCTCTGGTTTACTGCAAACTTTTCTAGTACACACTACCATGTGTATAGGCTGGGTGTGTAAACATCAATCAACAGGGCAGCTACATCATGATGCCGAAGGAGTCTGTAACATGGCCTTCCTGTCACAGTCTTCCACTTACCTTTGCCATCAGGAAGGCTTTGTTTTTTCGTTGTCTCATAAATGAGGTCACAGACCTCGGTAGTGCAACCTTCAAGGCAATGAAAAACACAAGCTACTAATATAAATTAGGGTGCGTCAGCAGGAAAAAAAGCACAGAGGAAGGAGGTGGTTATCAGTGTCCTGGACATGAAGATGAAGTTTTCCCCACCCCATAGCACCTGCCAGCAACAGGAGGCCTAGAAGGAGAGACAGACAGCTGGAAGTCATTAAGAGGGGGAAGCAGATTCCAGAGTTCAGCTGTCCTGGCAGACGGAGATTGGGTTTATGTTGCCATAAGATGAGGAGGTGTGTTTAGCTGAGCACTGGGAGTTGATCGTTTAATTGTTAATTTGTTTCTAAGTGAAATTAAACAAGGAAGGAGTTGACTTTGACCTTGCATGTATTGTGTAGCCTGTGTCATAACTGGGAGAGTCACCTGGTTATGGGAGGGTTACATGGAAAATGAAGAGCAGAATTCCATAACCCTGAAACAGGGTATGAAGAGTACGTGACCACCCATGCTCAGTAAGTAAGACATGAGACCCTTCTTAACCCAAGGAGTGGTTGTTGGAAGGGGTAATACCATCCATGACCACCAAACTTGTTGAGTATGCAGAGGATGCAGATGAGACTCTCCCTAACCCTAGGGATGGCAGCTGAGAACATACTCCTACACATCCTCCCTCTTACCAGCCCGTTGAATTGTACCCTGCTGGGCAATGCACTGAAACACACTGATTTTGTGACTGCGGACAGATTAAAAGTATAAGTACTGGAATTAATTAAATAAGAAATTCAGGTTTAATTTTAAAAAATTGCTACACTACAAGCTTTTATCAATCAGAAATAATAAGAGAATTTTTAACAGAAGTATTAATGTGAATATC